GGAAGTAATCTCAAATCATCCAGAATTAATTGTCTTTGTACTAAGCTATTTGAAATTACTCACTCAAAATAGCTCCTGAAGACAGGCAGTCTTTCTTTAAACGCAAATAATTGTCTTCTCAGATTGGAAATGTTGCCACATATTAAGCGAAACATATTTTTGCCCCTAATTCTTATATTTCTATCAGTTTATTTTCAGGGGAAGCCAATTCGAAAACTGAAATCATTTAACAGAATAATTTTGGTTGAAATGACTATTTCTAAGCTTGATGTGTTTTATATTAGTGTTGCATAATATCTTAGGAAGTATGTATAGCAGAAATGCCAAACGCTAGATTTAATTTCCTAAAGTATTTCTTTAAACTTTTTGTATAAGTTTCTCTGGTAGCTAGTAATGAATTGTACACTGAGTGAGCTAATTTTCTTCCACTAGCAGTTTTAACAAGTTAGTTTAATATAACCACTTTATTCTCTACCCCAAACTTTATACTGAATTTTTTCTGCTAGATTTTAGAATTATCATTTTGATGACAACCCAAGGTATTGTAATGGAATATAAATGGAATATAAATTTGAGTTGGAACTAATATCTCAGTTTAGAGAGAGGAAAAAAAAAAAAAAAAGCAGAGCTGTGGTCTGAAAATCACACTTCTCCAGGGCTGGGACTAGAAAAAGGCTAGTCAGGTAGTTGCCTCAGACATAAAATTTAACGGGATCCTAAAAAACTAAGCAATAAAAATAACTAATATTTCAATATGGTTAAAAAAATAAAACTTAGTGCAAAAATCCATGAACAAGATATCAAAAATTTTAAAAGGACAGGATCAATATTTGATTTTTCCTTTTGTTTCAGGCTCCAGCATGGCATAGTATGACACTGTTACTGATCATGTTGTAATTTAAAATTTTCATATTTTGTTCATAATGGATTTTTTTGCATTAATTTTTGTGTTTTGAAAATATCATTTATCTTGGAACCACCTCTGGAATTTTGGAGTAAGGACATTCGATAAATTCTCTTTTCCAAAACAGCAATGAGAACAATTTCACTGAGAGAGGCAAGAATTGTCGAAATAAACTATTTTAGAACTCTGGAAATTAATCAAAGACTTGGAACAATCCAGTGGGTGTTTATTCAAGAAAAATACTGAATTGTGCTAAGAACCATGACCTTTGTGGCATTTAAATTTATTCCCATGACTCCTTCCCAGCACCGTGGTAGCTTTGAAAACTAAAAGCTTCTGGAGGGGACAGAAAAGATTCAGAACTCTCCAAATGCTCCATTCTCAGAAAATTATCATTGTATGACCTGTCTGGCAGCTCCCTAAAAACCTCTATTTCAGAAGTTGTTTTTATTCCTCCTGACTCATCATGTGTAAACAGCCTCAGGGCATTTGTTAAAAACAACCAGTGGCAGTTGTTTAACATCGTAGGTCCCTGGAGTATCTACACCAGTTGAGGTTAACAAGAGGTTTACCAAAAAACTTAAAAAGAAAAATTGGGAAAAGATATATCTACAGAGGGCTTTGAAAAGCCCTGACATATTCCTTAGAATCTCAAAGGCCCATGTGCAGATGTAAATCTGTGCATATGTCCCAATGAGAGCCCACAGCAGCAAAGGCTGTTAGATGTGTTGGTTCAAAGCACTTAAGGAAGTCTCTATTCTATCATTAGCTGACTATGGAAGAAAACTGGGCAAAGACTTAAGTGGTTGCACATAATAAAGAAAATAGACTTTACAGAATTAGTCCAGGAAACGGACAAATAGCATTAGGAACAACAAAGGCAAACAGCAACAATTGTAAACCTTTGGTTGGGGTAGTAGAATCTGATTTCTGGAGTTACCGTATTATATTATTTAAAATACAGTTTTAACACACAATTACAACACACAAAGAAACAGGAGAGTATGACCCATTCACAGGGAAAAAACAGTGAAAAATATCCCTGAGAAAGTCTAGATGTTGGACTTACTAGACAAATGTTTTAAGTCAGCAATCATAAATGTGTTCAAAAAATGAAAGGAAGTCATGTCTCAAGAGTTAAATGATGTGAATGATGTCTCACCAAATAGAGAATATAAATAAATAGAAATTATTTAGGAAGAACCAAATAGAAATTCTGCAGTTGAAAATACAATAACTGAAATGAAAAAAATCCCTAGAGGGCTCAGCAACAGATTGGAATTAGCAGAAGAAAAAATCAGCGAACCAGCGAACTTGAAAGTAGGTCAATTGAAATTATACAGTTTGAGGAGCAGAAGCCCAAATGAATAAGAAGAAATGGAGAGAACCTCAGAATACCTCACGGATACCAGCATACACATAATGGAAGTCCCAGAAGGAGAAAAGAGAGCTAAAGGATACTTGAAGAAACAGTGGCCAAACACTTGCCAAATTTAATGTAATACATTAATCTGCACATCAAGAAGCTCAGTACATCCCAGCATAAACACAGATATCTACACCCAGACACGAAACAATCAAGCTACTGAAAGCCAAAACAAAGAGAGCAGCGAGAGAGAAGTGAATTATCATGTGCAAGGAACCTTCAATAAGATTAACATCTGACTTCTCATCATAAATCATGTAAACCGGAAGGTAGTTCTTTCAAAGTGCTGAAAGAACAACTATCCAATCAAGAGTTCTATATCCAGCAAAACTATCCTTCAACATAGAAGAAAAATTAAGACATCTCAGAAAAACAAAAACAGAGAATTTGTCCTTAGCAGGGCTGCCCTACAAGAAATATTAAAGGGGATCTTTCAGGTTGTAATGAAGAATGCTAGACAATAACTCAACTCCATGGAAGAAATAAAGACTATCAGTTAAAGTAACTACATTATGCAAATGTGAAGACAGTATAAACCACTAAGAAAGTACTGAAAAATATAAAAGAAGCAACAAAGGAATTAAAATGGTATCAGAAATGTCTGTTTAACACAAAAGAAGGCAATAATGGAGGAACAGAAAAACAGAAAGCACAGACATACAGAAAACACAGTAAAATGGCAGATGTAAATCCTATCAGTAATTACATTAAATGTAAATGGATTAAACACACCTATAAAAAAAGGACATTGACAGACTGAATTAAATAAATGTGACCTGACTGTATTCTCTTTGCAATAGATCCATTTTATATTCAAACACAAATAGTTTCAAAGTGAAAGGATAAAATAAGATATACCATGCAAATAGTAACCAAAAGAGAGCTGGGAGTGGTTATACTAATACTGGACAAAATAGATTTTAAGTAAAAAATTACCACAAGAAACAAACAAGGTCATTACATATTGGTACAAGGGTCAATCCATCATCAGGAAGACATAACATTTACAAACATATGTACATCTAGCAACTGTTCCCCAAGATACATGAAGCAAAAACTGACAGAATTGGAGGGAGAAATAGAAAATTCAACTATTGTGGTTGGAGATTTCAGTATCCTACTTTCAATAACAAGTGGAAACTAGGCAGAAGTTTAGCTAGGCAATGAGGCAGAAGGTTAACAAGGAAATAGAAGGCTTGAACAACACTATAAACCAACTAGAACTAACAAACATCCAAAGAACCCTCTACCCAGCCATAGCAGAGTGCACATTGTTTTCAAGCACGTAGAAGATTCTTCAGAATAGAATATATTAGGCCGTAGACCATGTATTAGGACACAGAGCACGTTTCAATGAATTTAAAAGCACTGAAGTCATACAAGGTATGTTTGTTGGTTGTAATGGAGTGATATTAAAAATCAATAGCTGAAGGTTCAGAAATTCACAAAATGTGGAAATTAAACAACACACTTTCATAATCTGTGGGTCAAAGAAGGTATCACAAGGGAAATTAGAAAATCCTTTGAGATGAATGAAAACAAAAACACACTAAAACTTATGGGATGCCAGTAAATCTGCTTACAGGGAAATGTATAGCTATGAATGCCTCTATTAAGAAAAGAAGGCTCACAGATGAATGCATTTACCTTCAGTGTTACTGTGGTCCACTTTAGGTCAACCTCTGTTTTTATGGGGAGAGTCAACACTGGAACAATGGAGAGTGCCTCTGAATGTTGGGTTTTCTCTCCCAGCATTTTCTCTCCTGGTCTGATGTTTAAAATTCTGATTGGATACGAACAAAATAATAGATTTCACCACCACTCTTGCACAGTCAGAATGCTGATTTTGACCCTATATCTTACTGTCAGATAATTAATTTTAAAAATACGGAAAGAGAAATGAGATGAATGGTATAAAAAGAGATCAAACAGTTTATTTTGCAGCTGGCCGCGTGTTCATACAAACACCAAAGCAAAATGATTTGTGGTAGGCTGCTCATTTAATGGGTCTCCCGGTAGGAGGCAAGGTTATCGAAGCCCTTCCTCCTCCATCTCAGAGGAGAACGTGTTTTGTGAATGAGTAAATTTTTATGCCTAGGGTACTCACGTGGTCTCTTTTATGTTGGTTGGTTGTAGTTCCAGGAGCATTGTGCGTGCTCCACACTACTCGGATGGTGGTGGGGGTGGGGTTGAGGGTGTTTGTTGTGCTGCTGGTGGTGTTCATAGCAACGGAAGGATGGGCGAGACAGTTGGGTTACTAAGTATATGATTGGACAGAAGTAAACGTTCCCTTCATCCCATCTGGACTTGGGCGTGTGGGGTGTCCTCAGTCTGAAGTGATGCCTGCCGCGTAAGGAAAGGCAGCCTTCTTCCCCTCACGTCTCATCCCTTCATCCCTCTGCCCCCTGCCTCTTGCTTCTCACTCACTTTGACATGCTTTCCCTTCTACCTGCCCTTCTTAGAGAGCTGCGTTCTTCCTCTCACCTTTTTGCCTCCCAGTCCTCAGCTATCCTCTCTGCCCCATTTACGCTCTCGGAGAAGACTCTTACTGCTGCAAGGAGGAAGCAGAGAGGAAGTGGGCAGTAAATAGGGGTGGAGTGGGAAGAGAGGACTGAAAAGATACTCTCTGGCCCTTCCAAATACTGGAAACAATTCACTTGTGTCTTTCAGGTACCATGAAGATGTGGTGGGTTGGAATGGAAACGGTTAATACTCAAACCACGGATGCTGCTCAGAAAAATGACGTGTGCAGAGTGATAGGTAGTTTTGAAGATTTAATTGTTTCATAATCACTGGGTTTCCCAAATATGTCTATTTTCTTTTTAGGAAAAGTGATGAAATTGTCATTTTTACAGATAGAAAGTGGTTGGATATCAGTACTTTTATATGACTCAGCCTGCTAATAGCAGGCGTTCTAGGCTACCTGTTGCAGTAGAATTTGGTAGAAGAATATGTGTTTTCTACCACATAGCAACTAATCTTGCTGGACAATTTAGAGAGGAAAGTAATTTTTACTGTTTTATTTTGAAATACAGTTTTATTAAGGATTTAACTAATATTAATATTGTTAATATTGTAGGATTTATAGTTCCTCTGGCTTTTTATTTCTGAATTATAAAAAGAAGCACAACGGAGTGTAAATTTGGTGCAATTTAAGAAAATTAAGATCTACAAAATGGACATGATTATTCACGTATCAGAGATATTTTTCCCCTGATAAAAGACAAGTCTTAAGTCCTTAAGATACTTCATTTATGTGATGTATTTAAGAATCGGTTTTCAGATCATTAACTGCTTGAGGGATTAAGATAGAAAGAAAATTGAAGTCATGTAATCCACTGAGGATTAATCTGAATATAAGATTAAGTAGCTCTAAAATCCTAGACACAGCCGATGGAAAAATGGGGAACTTGTGAAACAGCTCCCATTATGAAGCGTTTATTTGTGGCACAGTTATGCAGAGATCGGAGAACTCCTGTGCAAGCTCTGTTTTTCAGTGACAAGTGGTATTATAATGAAATTCCTGTTTGTGCTTTCCTGAACCTTACTCCTTTCGTCTAAATTTTTCTGTATTTTTCCTTTTTAAGGTTTCCACACCTGGATTGTCAACTAGGGCAAGTTATCACCAATGGCAGTAAAACTTGTTTTCTTGGGGTCAAGGTGAGTTTATGTGGATTTCTATTCGATTTACTGTTCATTTGACTGGGGCCCATAATTGCCTTTTAAACGTTGTGTAATATTTCCCAATATTCGAAGGAAAGAGTTGGTGGTAATTTTTGGTAAATATCATTAATGATGGAAGCAAATTAAAATTGATTCTCATCTGAAAGCTTAATTTAATTTTGCTTTATTCAAGATGTGAGATACATGTTCCAACATCAACCAAAATTCAAGTCCAAGCAACGTGTTTTGTTCGTGGTTTTAAATTGGTGGAGTGCACAATATGGGCATCTCTTTCTCAGTGGTGATTAATCTTTGCCTGCGACAAAAGGTTATCATGTGGTTGTTAACATGTGTTTAGTAACAGCAGGTGACAGAAATAGGACAGGAGGATGCAGTCGTATTTAGGGGCTTGCTTTGATTAGAGGATGTGCTTATTGGGAGAAAAAGACTAGATTGGGAGGGAAAAAGTTAATGGGGTGCAGAGTTTATTAAACGATGAATAGAAGCTTCATTGAGCAGCCAAGACCACAGAAAATTTAAAGTATTTGAGAGAGGCTTTTCTGAGAGTGGCTGCCGACCTGTCTGGCATTTCTATGCAAATTAGACAAAGGGATCCCTCCCACAGACTTTTTACTTCCATCTGATGGAGGATTGTTGGACTATCCTGATTTTTAGAACAAGACACTTTATTGCCATGTGCTGGAAACTTGTAATATAAATGAATTACCCATCTTTAAGTCATCAAAATTGTAATAAAAATATAGACAGTTTTTAAAATAGTAGAGCTGATATGGTCAGTGCCTCCTTGAATGTGGTCGCCTTGCACAGTGGACAACCTGAACAACTACCAGGCTGGCTTTGCTTTCAGGACAGTTTGTAAGGAAGGGAGGCTTTTTATTGAGTTCTGGTCCTTGGGGACACAGGATAGAAACAATAGTTTCAGGTATGGCCCTGATCTGACTTTTGGGTTGCATGAAAGAAACTTACTAGAGCGGCAGTAGCTTCTGTAGGTTTGGAGGCCCAGAGGGGTAGCCTGAGCTCTCCAGTAGTAAAACTAGGGAGGGGAAACCTCAACTATGCTTTAAACCGAATTGATGACAGAATTCCTGTGATTTAGTGATAGAGAGAATGTGTGCTTTCAGATTCCCAGCACTTCTAAAGTGGCTTTATTCTGCAGCTCACCAGCTCTGTGATGTTCTTGTTCTTAGGGACTATTTAAACTTGAGTTTTTCCCCCAGTAAAGCAGAGTTACTTTCAAAATGTTGAGTGTGTCCATAATGGCTGTCTCTTCCCTACTTATGACTTTTTGTAATTAATCTTCTGCTGAGACAAAAAGCTGTTATGCTGTTGTTCTTTTTTTCTTTTTTCTTTTTAGTTATGTTGTTGTTAATGGGTAAGTACTGATTGATAAATTTTGGATAGGAGAGATGCAGCTGTGTGTTGGGTCCCGGGGTAGGACTGCGGGTGGGGAATGTGGCTGATCAATGTATTATTGAGATGAAAAAAGAACAGATACGGGAAATAATAGTGTAGTGCGGAGAGGTGGTGGTGGTGTTGGGGTCCTGGTCGCTGGGGGCATGGGTGGAGGTCACGGTGTCTAGGGGTGGTCCACATGGGGGTGGCAGCTGGGGTGCCATGGTGGCGGGGTGGCAGCAGCCACTGGGACATTGATGAGTCATATGAAGGAAGGGAATGGAAGACGAAAAGAGGCCAAGCTGCAGACACAAAATATATGGGCTGGATACAGCTTTACTTTCTTAGATGCTGACGACAGAATTGATGAGGGGGAAATCCAAGGGGCTTCTCTTTGCAGAATGAGAAACCAGTTTTGTTACTGTACCGTTTATCTATCTCTTCCTCCCCGAGGAAGAGTAACAACAAAGAGACCTCAGAGAGTGGTTATAATTCCGGTGACTGTTGGTGTTTATTTCACATACCCCTGCCATGACCCACATTTCTGCCGCGCATGCGTGCGTGCCCGCATGTGTGATCAGGGGTGTTGATTCTCTGAATACAAAAGTCGAGGAACACGTGATCAATGAAGAGAACCATTTATGTGATTTACAGGAAAAGGCCCTGGTGTTCTTTACATCTGAATCCTCTCCCCCCCGCCCCCCCAACCATGCATACATGATCTATGTTTTGAAGGAAAAAATGATGTGGATTTTTAAAAAAATGAGTTTAGGGGCAGGAGGAAAAGGGGAAAGAGGATTAGGGAGGTTTATATGAACCAGCCCCCCCAGATAATCGCTGAGCTGTCTGTTCCACTTCGTTGGTGGCTATTATGTCTGATTTTTTCTTTGCCTTTGAAATACCAAGGGAAGAGTGAGAATATGGAGTTGTTTGGGGTCCAATATTTGGTGCCTGTGATATTGAGCTAATAATTCCATGTTCCATTTTTCCTTACTGTTCACAGGGAAAATGGTTTTTGCTACTAGAAAATATTTGTGAAAACACTAGCTTCATAAATGGTAAATTATGAAACAGTGATATTTAAGAATAATCCAGCATTCTCATTGTCATTTATTTTCATAAATTTGGGGTTGAAATATTTTATCACCGTATGATCCAAAGAATTGTTTTGATTACTTTTTTTATTGACATATAGTCAGTTACAGTGTATCAATTTCTGGTGTCCAGCATAATGTCCCAGTCATACATATATATATATATATATATATATACACATATATTTGTTTTCATATTCTTTTTCTCTAAAGATTGTTACAAGATACTGAATATAGTTTCCTGTGCTATACAGAAGAAACTTGTTTTTTTATCTACTTTTATTTATAGCGGTTAACATTTGCAAATCTCAAACACCCAAATTTATCCCTTCCACCCTCTTCCCCCTGTAACCATAAGATTGTTGCTATGTCTGAGAGTCTGTTTCTATTTTGTAGATGAGTTCATTAGTGTCCTCTTTTTTTTTTTTTAGATTCCACATGAGTGATATCATACAGTATTTTTCTTTCTCTTTCTAACCTCCTTCACTTAGAAGGATGACCTCCAGTTCCGTCCATGTTGCTGCAAATGGCATTATTTTATTCTTTTTTATTGCAGAGTAGTATTCTATTGTTTAAATATATCACTTCTTTTTTTTTTTTTTAAATCACAACCTCTTTATCCAGTCATCTGTCCGTGAACATTTAGGTAGCTTCCATGTCTTGGCTGTTGTAAATAGTGCTGCTGTGAGCATTAAGGTGCATGTATCTTTTTGAATTAGAGTTCCCTCTGGATACATGCCCACGAGTGGGATTGCTGAATTATAAATGATCCTTTATGCTCATTATGCAAAGATGTACATACCTCCACAGCAGGAGAGAGAGACATACAGAGTAGCTTTCTGAAAAGGAGGGGCAGTGGATTGTCACATGGTGGAGGATGTTGGGTTAGGAACACGGTGCCGTGTACGGGATGCACTGCTTCATGGAATGGGATGACTTTCCAGGTTGAAATGCTGATTCTATCTGCCACGTAGGCAGTGCTCCCTGCTTCGGTGCTGTGCTGAGCTGGTAACACTCACCATCTCATTTGCTCCTTAAATACCCCACGAGGTGCAGGTACCACCATCACCCTCATTTTCCAGCTCATGTGTGGTGAAGCCGGGCTTGTAGCCAGCCATGCCCTTACCCACTCGGCCGTGCTGCCTCCCCGACACTGGACTGGATCCTCGCCTGAAAGTCACGTTCATTTCTACAACTCTACATGCTTCAGACAAGCCTCTCTCATCCCCCATAATATGAAGCTTGATAGCTTTACGGGCAGAACCGCTTCAAAAAAATTCTGTCATTAGAGGGCACCAGCTAAGAAGGCCAGAGGAGCCCAGATATAAACTCACGCCCTATAATGAGATATGAGGGAATTGTCAGTTGCGATTTGTTTCCTAGAGACCTTAGAGATTTTTAAAGACTAGGCTTTTTTTTCTTTCCACTGAAGAAGGTCCTGTGATTCTGAAATATTTGAATGTCAAATAGGACTGAAATGTGCTCAGATTTTGTGTACGTGAAGAAACTCAGCAGTGTGTGTGTTTTATTTTCTGCGTTAAAATGGGAATAGATTAGAAGCACCAGGATCTCAGAGTCCATTATTTCAGAGATCCTGAGGTTAATCTTTTTCCTAATCCATCTTCTCGTTGGGCACAAAACACAGGAGAAGAGACCAACTGCATTTTAATATTTAAATCCACAGATCCAGAGCTCGGGATTCCAGAAAATTGGTTGTTGGGGGTGACGGGAGGCAGAGTCAGTAAAAGTCACATGGATGATCCCATTAAGATGATAAAAAGTCACTTAGACTTTTCCGTTGTCTGTTTTTAAATGGCGCACAAGACCGCTCAATTTCCCATGTGCTGCTCTCTCAGACTGTTAGATACATTCTGTCCTCCTGCCTTTCTAGCTCCAAATTAAACCTGGGTGCTGTTGGATGCGAGGCCAGATTTTATTAAACTAGGTCATCAGGGCACACACACAGGGGCCTGGATCCCACTGGCACTGTGTCATCTTTGGTAATTAATGGGTAAGCTCGCCAGGAGGCAAACGAAATGGCTTCACTCCTGCTATTGGGGCGGATAGCAGGGAACTGTGTAGTATTTGAGCACACGTCCAGTTCATGATGATGAATTACCACGGGAGTCCTGGCAGAGTTCCTGCGCTACTCAAATTATGTCAGGTAAGTTCATCGTATTAAGAACTATCACAGAAATTACAGAAGAATTAAAAATGGATGTGTTATTCCGGTGTGTTACGACTTACTGCTTTAACTTGCACATTTTTAATGCAATGTGGTTTTCTGCCTCCCCACCCCACATCGTCCTCCCTTTTAGAAACACCGAGAGCCTGCTCTGACATCAGCCAATTGGTAGTGACTTCCTGGGGCAGAAGCTTGGGATGTTGTATAGAGAGGTCGTTTGGAGATTCATTTCTAGTTCTTCTTTTGAAGGCTTAGTTTGGTTCCATCTAACAATAGGAGGATGAATTAAATGGCTTTTTAAGATC